CACACACACACACACACACACACACACACAAACACACACACACAAACACACACACATTTTATATAATATAATTATATAATATGCATGTATTCATATAATATAGATTATACGTGGAGCAAATTCCATAACATTGTAAAATCATGTTCAGCCTTGATCGACTCTAGAGGAGCATAGGTTTGCAAGCAAGATCCCTCTAAGCATTTGAATATCCACAGGTTAATATGGAGTTTCTCATTCGACAATAAGGTTAAAAATCCATAGGTTATTACTTGCAAGTCTGTGTATTTTTGTGCGTATATGTGTGTGTGTGTATGTGTGTGTGTTTGTGTGTACGTATGTGTGTACATGTAAGAATGTATGTGTGTGTGCGTGCGTCCGTGTGTAGGCCTATGTGTAAGTGTGTGCGTGCATGAGTATGTGAATGTGTGTGTGTTTGCCCGCTCTAATTAAATATCAATCTGCTGTATCTCCTATAATGCATTATCCATTCGGAAAATAGGAGCATATCGCAACACGTGTTCGTTAACTAAGTTTGGTTTCCGAAAGCCGAGTTTTACGGCACTTGCAATTTAATAAGGTTAGTTAGGAAATTAGAGGGGCTACAACAAAGTAACAAACACAAAAAAGAAGGAGTAGAAATCAGGACGACAGATGTTTGATAGGAAAGCATATGGAGCAAATCTCACCAGAACACCCGCTAACCGCCCACATCGTTCACTTGAACTTGCGCACCAATCATTACTGACAATTGCGATAAGCATTTTTTTTTTTTTAAGTTGCTGTGTCAGTATTTCTCTGTGTGAACATGAACCCGTGACTACAAACGCCTAAGCAAAAGATAAAGAAAACGCAAAAGACAAAAAGGAAAATGAACTAGATCTGTACAGGGGTAACATAGAAATGTGAACTCCACCCGGACGAAAGGAAATCTGTAAAACCATTGTTCAAACCCCAGGAACATCACGACCGCTGATAATGAGGGTAGCACGTGGGGCAGGGTCTGATCAATAGGTTTACATACCCCTGATTGTGAAAACTGGCGGTCGAAAGGACGGACCAACAGCTTGCGTGACATTAGAGGAATACAGTGTACTCTCTCTCTCTCTCTCTCTCTCTCTCTCTCTCTCTCTCTCTCTCTCTCTCTCTCTCTCTCTCTCCCTCTCGCCCCTTTAAACAAACACTGTAACGTTATCTAAGATGTGCAACGCTTGAATTACATGTAACTGTTGACCTCAGAAGAAAAAAAAATATCGAACCAAGAGGGTGGATGGAATATTGAAGCTTTAACCAACCCCAACACCTCCAGCCCCCACAACAACCCACGTTCTAGAACTCCAATAAGCTCAGGGTTCGAACCAGGGCCATCAAAATCGTATTCAAACATGATGCCAACTGAACTGAGAGTCCTCCAGATCCGACAATGAAATGCCAACGTTTGCTGATTCAGTACATTGTCATGTTTGCCCAGGTCACACCCACACACCCACCACTTCACCGTTATCAGACTCGTCTTACCACATCACACTGTGGACAACCGCAGCGAGATATGAGCTCCAATCACATTTTTAACTCCCTGGAAGCTCTTGTTTGAATTTAGATCCGTTTGAACGCCCTACAAGACACGTACGTGCCAATATGGAGTGGGTGCATGGCCCTAGGGCGACATTGAAGAAGGGGAAATACAAAAAAATAAAAAAGACAGAGACCAAATAATACTCAGGAAAATAAAAAGGACAGAGAGAAAATAATGCTCCCAAATCTTTTTATTTTCCTCACAGGACGGAAAGTGGAGAAGACACCCATTTTACAGGGGGGGGGGGGGGGTTTATTATTGCTGTTGACTTTTGCCCCACTCCTTAGATCATTTAGGAGCTGCGAGCTTCGAACCTGCTTGTCAGGGCCAACCCGTGCTATGAGGGAAACATCGATCGTCCCAGCAGAGAGACCGAGATCGATAAGAACTCTCTCCGCACGAGAATCGAACTCAGGTCTTTAGCGCACAATGGCGAAGCGCCTAATCAATATAAACTACGAAGTCACCTTTCAAAACACAGTAAGATCAACAAAATAAGTGTATCGTGAATTCGACACTCTGACACTCTTTCTCCCTTTTCCCCTCGCTACATTTAAGATATCAAGCAAATTATGTTTTAATCGTTAACTGGAGCGTGTTCAAACAAAACGCCTATTACGAGTACCCTGCTTTGCAGCCACGCTCTTCCGGGTTATCTTTTTTTCAGTTTGCTTGTAGTAAAGATTTAAACTGCCAGTCAGAACAGAACTTGAAAACATGCCAGCAAGAGACTGTGATAAATGTCCGAGAAACCTATGGTCTATCTGGGCAAATACGATTCGCACAAAGTCCACCAAGGTTAAAGACTTGGTCTGGAAACGAAGTCTAAGAGGGGGAACAGACCAAGGACAGCGTGTCACTTATGCGGTTGAAAATCGTTTATTAGTTTGAATAAAGGAAGCACCACGAAACAACCAAGGAAGTTACAAGAAAGCCAGAAACACCAGACGGAAAAAAGAAGTAGGGCGTATCAGTAACACCCTCCAACCAGTTTGAAAATCTTTTAATCTGTAATATAATACATCTCGTTTGTATCGAAGCATTTTGTCGCTGCATAGCGTGTTCCTGGCATCTGAGGAGGCAGGTACGTGGGTGCAACACTATGTCGCTCAGTGCAGAGCAGGCAAAGAGGTGGTGTGACTGTGAGACCGTTTCATCCTGGCGGCCACAGAGCGGGCAGGCAGATGGAGTATCCTTACGGATCGTTTCAGAGACAGGGAGCTAAAAAGTATCCAGTATCCAGTGACATCTTGTAACTTCAATCTGGGAACGCAGTATCATATGTTACCTAGCAAAAAGTTCAGACAATGACTACACTGAGGAAATGTGCGTTCTAGAAGTGTGGTCGGACATGATGGAAATGGGGATTTCGGGCCACAAAACGTGAGTGATATGGGGGGGGGGGGCGACTATCAAATCGAACAATAAGAGTGAAACAATCACGCCATAATTACTGCAAACATACAGACAGGGCTGATATACCACTCCGTGTTAAAGGTACCATCTGTGGTGTAAAATGATTACAATACCGAAAGAAAAAACTTTCAGTTCCTTACCCACAAACCAACATCAAGTATGAACATTTTGCGCTAAAAATGTGGGAGTCGTAAAGAGACAGGCCGAAACTTATTCAGCTTAGAATGAAGGCTGAACGGTGACGTCATAGGTACTTTGATAACATAGAGGTCTATGGCCCAGTTACAGCTGCCAACAGGCATACGCCTTCTTCCTTCCAAACTCTCAGCACCCACTGATAACAGACCTAGTCTCAACTGGTTTTATTTATAGAGCACTTTGGCTGACATTTACATGTGGAACAAAAGAAATATCAATCGTCTATGCTTACAGTTTACAGTGCCCGCTGTGAGATCCAGCGTGCTGATTTTGCACAAAAATAGATTGAAACAGAACTTCTTCACACCATGTGATTAGGCCAGACACAGCTCCATTCCAATAATGAGGTACACATACTTTTGACGATAGTAGACGTGTGGGAGGAATATTGCATCGTCGGTGCTGATTTTGATTGTACTTGACAGATTGTAACCGTTTTACGCCCCCAATGACACAACGTGATCATCAAAGAGGACGGCTGTTTCACCTGACCAATCAGGGCCAGCTCAGGCTTTATCGGGCTTTCGGATACACGCTCCCAGCAGAAAGACCGGGATATTCCATAAACTACACTCCCATTCACTGGGTGGGGGACGACAAGCCTATAACTATCACATCATAGGTGCCACACAGAGGCAAAACCAATTAAAAGAGCTGAACTTAAACGATTACAAATTTACCAGCACTTTTGAAAAGCTTTTAATTCTGGACTAGGTAATACATTAGATCTATTTGTTGTTTTTTTGGTAAAGTGTTTTACGGCGCTCGCAACTGCTTAAGGTCATATGAGCGCGCGGGACACACCTAATATTTTCAGTTGGTAGGAAATTTTGAATTTTGCCCGGGTGGCGGCCGAAGCCTACTCTTATCGATTTTAGACCACCAGGGGATCTTTAACGTGCGCAACTTGCACACGGGCCCTCCGAGATTTTTCGCCCTTGTCCGAGAAGGCTAGGTGTAGATCTTTCCTACCAGAAGATCAGGGGTGTGGCAGAAAGACAGCAGTAAGGAGGAGCCAAGGAGTAACAGTAGAAAGGCTGCAGAAAGAGTCAGGAGCCCAGAGGAGGGGGCAAAGGAGGTGAGGGGGTGGGGGCAGAAAGTGGAAATGAAATCAGACAACAGAACATTGCTAGAGAGCAGGAAAGGAGGTGAAAGGAGACAATTTTAGAGAAGAAAATGTTTTGGTCGCTACCCGGATTCGAACCCGGGACCTTTGAATGAGAGGTCAACACCTTAACCTCTAGGCCACGAGAGCCCCCATTAGATGTATGTCCTTTCTTGGCTACAACATAAACAAATACACTTTCATGTCCCATCTGGCAGAGTTAAAGTTTCTGTTAATTTGTCAGGAATGAGCACGGTCTTTCGAGTTTATTGTAGTCTCTGTAACTCCACATTCTTTTCATGAAAGAGCAAACTTTCTCGTCTGAATCAAATAATAATATGCAGTAAGAACAAGTGGTTCGATCTATGAATTCAATTCCAAAACCATGCAAATTCCTATGAGAAACATATTTTTAAAAGTACGGTAGGTACTTACAATCTGATTGGTTCTTCGGTACGCCATAGTGAAGGGTATTCACTCGATCTGTTAAAGAAAGAAAAAGATCAAAAGATATTTAGCTGACATGTCGTTTCGTTCTTTCTTACGGCGAGTCAGGTCGATAACACCTACCTGAGGAGAAGCACATCAACATGATATTGGTCAATTAGTTGAGGGGAAAAGCAAGAAAGACCAAAAAAGCCCAGCAACAACAGAGTAAAAGCCAAGGAGGAGGACTTACTAATGACATCCTCCACCCACCCACTCAACACGGTGTCTACCACAGATCAAAGGTGCGTTGATTCAGGGATGACATATATATAAATTTGTCTTTGAAAAGCAATGCTAATATTTTTTCGAGTTTATTGTAGTCTCTGTAACTACATTCTTTTCGTGAAGGAGCAAACTATATACAGCGCATAAAGAGGATGACTAATCAATATGATTTAGAAAGCCGTACTCCGACAAGGATCTCGAAAACACCAACATGTGTTAACGTATGCCGTGGATTTTTATCCGGTTCTGTGTAACATGAGCACACTTTTGACATCCTTGAAACTAAAGGCTCTAGCAAAATTTCGCAACATAGTGGGTGTCTTCAGGCACGAGGGTCGGGTGGCGCAGTAGATTGACAATTTGATATTATGCTCCAGTGAAGTGTACGGTTCGAAACTCTGTCCACGCCCCCCCCCCCACCCCTCTTTCTTGCTCTCTCTCTCTCTCTCTCTCTCTCTCTCTCTCTCTCTCTCTCTCTCTCTTTCCCTCTCTCTCACATACACACACACACACACACACACACACACACACACACACACACACACACACACACACACACACACACACACACACACACAAACACATCTCTACCAAACAACACTCTAGACTCCGGAAGTAAAACTTAAAAACTGTGAACATGGGGGCATTTCCTATCTCTCAAGTCAAGCCGGTGATAACCGGTCTCGACCAATGCTGAGATACCAGGACGATAGCGTCTACATTTTTCCAGGAGCAGATACCACACACCGGTAACTGGTAACGCAGGAAAAGAAATCGAAGAACTAGACTTCACCAGAGACCCCCTTATTCAAGCCCCTTGAGACATCCAAAAAGAGGTGGGGCAGTGAGAGAACGTCCGTCAGATGACACCTCTTCGGGGGCCTCAAAAGGAATGTGCCCGCTGCATCAAGAAACCGCCGTCCTCAAATATTTGACATCTGAAGCGAACTCGGACCCAGTTAAAACTATGGAGTACTGTATCATAGCCCGGTAGAGTGCTCTTAAGCTGCAACAACTTGAATCAAAGCGGTGGAGAAGAACTTAAAAATAAAGCATGTTACTCAAGTGAGAGATAGTGATTGAGAACGAATGTGTGTGCGTATGTGTGTGTGTGTGCGTGCGTGCGTGCGTGCGTGCGTGCGTGCGTGCGTGTGTGTGTGTATGTGTGTGTGTGTGTGTACGTGTGTGTGTGTGTGTGTGTGTGTGTGTGTGTGTGTGTGTGTGTGTGTGTGTGTACGTGTGTGTACGTGTGTGCATGTGTGCACGCACGCATGTGTGAGTGTATTTGTTACAAAAGGTAACTTTTTCACTCCTGGAGCGCGTATTACCTGTACATTATAGCCTTCATAATGAGTTCCCGAGCCACAAGGGCGGGTACCACGACTCAACTGTGGAGCATCCATCACAGAGGGGGACAGCAGGGATTGTGTTTTGGTAAGTGTTTAACGGAGCTCGCAACTGCATAAGGTCATATGAGCGAGCGGGACATATTAAACATTTTCAGTTTGGTAGGTATTTTCAATTTTGCCTGGGTGGCGGCCGAAGCCTACTCTTATTGATTTTATGACACCAAGGGATCTTTAACATGTGCAACTTGCACACGGGACCTCCGAGATTTTTCGCCCTTTTCCGAGAAGGATGGTGTTACATCTTATCTACCATAAGATCAGGGGTGTGGCTGAAAGACAGCAGTAAGAAGGAGCCAAGGAGTAGTAATAGAAAGGTTGCAGAAAGAGTCAGGAGCCCAGAGGAGAGGCAAAGGACAGCAGGGATGGGCAGGGACCTACACATTCTAGGCAGGGACAAAAGCACACAATAGACTTCTCGGTCTTTGGTGGTTGGATACGTGAGCACAACCTTGGAATGCGTTGAAATGGGTTGAAGGGATGGGTGGTCTGGAAGAGGGAGGGGGTGTACAAAGAAACAGAACGAGACCGGCTTAGCCCATTTAACAGATAAGCATAGAACAGAATGCATTCTTTAGATTGATAAAAAAAAAAAAATTTCTTTCCTTTTCTTTTCTTTTCTTTTACTATTTATTTATTTTTATTTTTTTTATTTTTTTTTTTTGGGGGGGGGGGGTTCAAGTGCCCCAGTTTGTTGCAATGTTCTTTTTTTAAATCTCCACACTTGAGAAAATGATTTAATACTTTTACGAAAGCTTCATTGTCCGCAGGCTTTTCGTCCTGTAACCTGTATGGCGTCACATTCTCTAAAGCCAAGGACAGACCGCTATTTGAATGGCTTACAGCAACTTTTTTGTAAGGGAACCTTCCATTGGCTCGAAGTCAGTGACCAAATAAATTAGTTCTGTAAGTTGTCTTTTGTTTACTCTTTTTAATTAAGCTTGATAAATGATTTCCTTGGCGTAAGAGTAACGTAGTTAATAAAATAAGATAAAGCGTTTGGTCCCCTCTCAGATAAAAGCGTTCTCTGAAAACAAAAATATTATGAGAAGAGGAGAACCCGAACCTTAACCAGATGCTAACCAGTACTTTTGATACCAAGTCACCAAAGTGCCCTTGACTTCAAATTTGAGAATTAATGAGCAGGCTATTCACCTGTCAGCTCGGCTGAGGGTCCAGTACGACCTTCAGACGCCTTTTATTTTTGATGTTCTGACTCTCACATTCGTGTTATTACTTTTCTTTTTACCAGTCAGGGTTTACATAAATGCAAGTATCTTCTGTATTGTTCTCTTTATGAAAATAATATAGACGTGATAACGACCATTTAATGCCAGGAGACAGACAGACAGACAGACAGGCAGACAGACAGGCAGACAGACAGACGGATAGACAGACAGACAGACAGACAGACAGACAGACAGACAGACAGACAGACAGACAGA